GAGGCCTCCAAGACGACCCCGAGCGGCCCCGGACTTCCCCCCGTACAGCCCCGACGCCCCAGACGGGCGCGAAGGTGCCTCACAGATGGTCCCAAGAGGACCCCGCAAAGGGGCGTCAACGACCCCCAAGAAACCCCAACAGGGCTCGCAGGAGGTTCGAGAGCCCCAAGAATACGACACTGAAGGGCCTCCGAGACTGTCGTGCAAGGTGCCAAACGATCCCTGGGACCGCCCAGCGGGGCCCCCAGCATGGCCTCCCAAGGCAAAGATGTCTCTTAACTCAGGAGCTCAGGAGCCCCAAAGGCCTCCCAGAGACCCCAAGAGGTCCCCCAGGAGCCCCCAAAGCCCTCAAGAATACCCCAAAAAGGCCCCAGGACGCCGCAGGAAAGAAGCCCCCGAGAGTTTCCCTCCTCCTCCTCCTCCTCCTCCTCCTCCTCCTCCTCCGCCTCATCATCATCAACATCAGAACCGCCACCACCACCACCACCACAACTACCACCATCCTCACCAGAATAATCATCACCATCATCATCGTAAGCAGAATCCACAGCATCGTCGTCGCCAGTATCATCACCACAATCATCAACCTTAATATCATCACCACCATTGACGTCATCATCAACAGCATCAGCAACATCGTCGCCATCATCAGCATCATCGCCGTCACCAGCACGATCATCATAATCCACATCATCGCTTCACCAACATCATCATATACACCATAATTGTAGCCATCACCATCATAAACCTCATCATCATCATCATCACCATCATCACCATCATCATCATCATCATCATCATCATCATCATCATCATCATCAGCATCATCATCATCATCATTATCATCATCATCATCATCATCATCATCATCATCATCATCATCATCATCATCATCATCATCATCATCATCATCATCATCATCATCATCATCATCATCATCATCATCATCATGATCATCATCATCATCATCATCATCATCATCATCATCATCATAATCAGCATCGTCCACCATCAGCATCATCATCAGTGTCAGCATCATCATCATCGTCATCATCATCACCATCATTATCATCATCAGCATCAACATCACCATCATCATCATCATCATCATCATCATCATCATCATCATCATCATCATCATCATCATCATCATCATCATCATGTTGTTCACCATCATGCTCACCACCATCATCATGATCACCACCGTCAGAATCCTGTTTCTCCCCCCCCTTGTCAGGTTTCCTCCCCAAACATGTTCCCCAACGGATTTCCTCACCGGCCTGGGGAACACATAGCTCAGTAGTTTGGCAAGACTTCGGCCAGGCAAGGGGGAGAGCCTGCTCTGAATTGTCGTTGGCCCACCGCCCGATACGCAAACGCACGTTGGCCCCCCCGCACGGCATCTGCCCGGCTCGATCATGCTCGATAGCGGCGAAGGCCGCGACGATGACGATGGCGGTGGCGACCATGGCAACGAGGAGATGGAAGCCGAGGGCGACGGTAGCTGCGGCAACGAAGGCAGCGCTGGGAAGCTGGCAATGATTAGTGACGAGATTGATAGCGGTGATGATACTAGCGGCGAGCATCTCGAACGGCTGCAGCCGGCAATGCACGGTGTTCGACGACGATGGCGAGATGATGCGGGCGTGCCGCCCTCCTGGGCGGCGAGGGGACCCCCCGTGTAGTTTGGTATCAACTGATCCCGGGACACGGTGAACAATGCGGATGCTGCTTTGGACGCGGTTCCCAGCGGTGTCCAGCGATGCTCTCCAGCTTTCAGCGGCTTCTGTTGGTTTGCTTGCTGCTTTACTCTCCTAGCCGACATCAGATTCGCGGCCGTCGCTCGACCTTCTGCGCCGAACCGAGAAGTATCAGCTGGAGTTGTCGCAGGATTCCTGGCGATGTTCGCAGATCTGCGCTTGTTCCCTCGCGGTGAAAACGGGACTGTCATGCCCAGTAAATATCATATCCACGACATCTGCACAGATGCCATCCCCGCCGACCATCCCCGCTATGACCATCACATCGACGTCCCTGCTGCCATCCTAATTCGCCACTATGGCGATCACTGCGCCAGTTTTCGCTCACACGACGACGCCACACTAGAGAAAAAACTAATGCCAGACCGTCCCATGTCTGCAGAGGCCCCCAGGAAGCCCCAGGAAGCCCCGGGCAGCCCCAATGAGGCTCCCAAGAGACCTCCTCCTCTTCCTCCTGCTCCTACTCCGCCTCCCCCTCTTTAGCAACCATCTGGGCCCGAACTGAACTCTGTGTCGATGGGTGACCCCTGGGTGCACGGTTTCCACCGGGGCCGTATAGACAAGCGCGCTCCACTACTCGCAAAGTAACTACTCGCAAATGGCCTGGACCGCCGCGGGGGATTCACGATACATTACGTCGAGGCAATAAACTACTTTTTCGGGCGTTTGCAATTAGCGAGTAGTGGAACGTGATCGGTGACCGTAGGCGAACCGAGGAGGAGGAGAAGGAGGAGGAGGTGGAGGAGGGGGGGGGGAGGAGGAGATGGAGGAGGCGGAGGGAGGAGGAGGGAGGAGGAGGAGGGAGGAGGAGGGAGGAGGAGGAGGAGGGAGGAGGAGGAGGAGGAGGAGGACGGGTCGCCTAAGCCCTTCGGAGAAACCCTCCACGATGGCCACGCACCCGCGCCGCTCGCCGGCGAGCGCGCTGCAGGCCGCCCGCGGCGCGGCTCTGGGCCTGCTTTTGCACGGGCGCGGCCCAGATAGCTGCCTCTGCGGTGCAGTGCGGGGCAGCGGCGGGCCCCCCGCCGGGCAGCGGCGCAGCAGCCTGCCGCACGCCGCGGGCCGCGGAGGGCCTGCCCCCCCCCCCAACCGCCGAGCCGCAGGCCCTTCCGGGCCGTGCGGCGTCGGGCTCTCCGCCAATGCCGGTAGCGCCCACAGCACCGCCTGCCGCCCCCGCGGCGGCACCGCTGCCGCGCGCGGCGCGGCAGGGCAGGTGCTGAAGATGCAGCCCCGATGGAGCTGGAGGAGAGCGGGGAGGGCACCATCGACGTGCTGGCCGACGACTCCTGGGCGGATGTGCTGCCTGTCTTTCGCCGTCCGCATCCTCGCGATGGCGAAGCTGACGTGGCGGGCCAGCGCCCAGCGGCGGGGCAGGAGGCAGGTGCAGCCGTCAAAGGTAAAACATCTGCAGGGCTGTGCCGCGGATGGAAGCTTCCTAGAGGTCGCAGGTGGTCGAGATGGCTGCGCGGCTTGACACGACTTCTGGTGATCTTTTCGCCCTTTTCTGAAGCTGGTGGTACGCTCGGACATGTCCTGAGTGCCTCTGACCGCGATGTGCTGCTGAGTGCCAGCGTTTCCGCCGCCGGCCTCGCCAGGCAGTTTAACTTGATTCGCCGGCCCACTTCGGCCCGGTTTGGCCCCACTACCGCCGATGGTTGAGCCTCTGCTTGCATTTTTGTTGGAGGATTCGGAGATGGGAGCGGACCGCGATGACGTACACAACTCGCCTCGCCAAGCGTGCTGGCAATTATCATGCTCGTCGCAAGGCTGGCCTACGAACGTGGGCGAAACGCCAGTCGGGGAGGACGGCTTCTGGCCTCGCCACGATGACGTTGCTGCTTACTGTGCAGTGGGGGCCCGTCCACAAGAAACCTTCCACAAGAAACCCAACCCTGAGACCCCAGGACGTCCATGGATGTTTGGTGCGGGAACGTCGCGTCTTCCATAGCAAAACCATCGAAACCCAAGAAACCCAGAGCACCCTGGAGGCAAGCAGGATGTTTCGTGGCATGGGCCTCCACTGTAGGCGCCGACGTTAAGCCTCGGCTTGCGTGCTCCAGGTGCGCAGTGGGCGTTCCTTTGTGGGCCGCTTCCTGTCGTTCGGCACCACGTGCGAGCCTCTCGTGAAAGCCCGGTGTGTGTATGTGTATGTGTATGTGTATGTGTATGTGTATGTGTATGTGTATGTGTGTATGTGTGTATGTGTGTATGTGTGTATATGTGTATATGTGTATATGTGTATATGTGTGTATGTGTGTATGTGTGTGTGTGCGTGTGCGTGTGCGTGTGCGTGTGCGTGTGCGTGTGCGTGTGCGTGTGCGTGTGCGTGTGCGTGTGCGTGTGCGTGTGCGTGTGCGTGTGCGTGTGCGTGTGCGTGTGCGTGTGCGTGTGCGTGTGCGTGTGCGTGTGCGTGTGCGTGTGCGTGTGCGTGTGCGTGTGCGTGTGCGTGTGCGTGTGCGTGTGCGTGTGCGTGTGCGTGTGCGTGTGCGTGTGCGTGTGCGTGTGCGTGTGCGTGTGCGTGTGCGTGTGCGTGTGCGTGTGCGTGTGGTGTGTGGTGTGCGTGTGCGTGTGGTGTGTGTGGTGTGGTGTGGTGTGGTGTGGTGTGGGTGTGGGTGTGGGTGTGGGTGTGGGTGTGGGTGTGGGTGTGGGTGTGGGTGTGGGTGTGGGTGTGGGTGTGGGTGTGTGGGTGTGGGTGTGTGTGTGTGTGGGTGTGTGTGTGTGTGTGCGGCCGTCGGCATCCGCATTCTTGCAGTGTCGTGTTCGCACCTTGGACGCTTCTCCACTGCCCCGCAACCTCCTCCTCCTCCTCCTCCTCCATTCCCTCCTCCTCCATTCCCTCCCTCCTCCTCCTCCTCCTCCTCCTCCTCCTCCTCCTCCTCCTCCTCCTCCAGCTCCTCCTCCTCCTCCTTCAGCTCCTCCTCCGCCGCCTCCTCCTCCTCCTCCAGCTCCTCCTCCTCTCCCTCAAGTGTTCCCCCCGAAGGCTTCCACAACGGCTGGGGGGAAACATAGTCCAATAGCTTGGCAAGAGGTTCGGCCCAGCGTTTGGCCGCATAGGTGTTTCCAGAAGACAGAGGGCGGCGGTCGTTCGCCGCAGGCGTCTTCGACAAATGACGAAGAGGGGTGGGCGGGGAACGGGGAAGCTGGCTGGGGAGGGAGAGGGGAAGGGGAGATGGGGAGGGAGAACGGGGAATGGAGGAGGCGGGAGGAAGAGGGAGACGAGGGGATGGGGGAGAGCGCGATGGCCTCCAGGGGCAGCGAGTCCGCCTTGCGGCTGCCGAGCTCGCCGACGAGCACGGGCTCCTCGTGGAGGTCGCGCAGCGCCTGCATCGCGCGCTCCCTGTCGGCAGCCGCGACCACCAGAAGCATGCCGATGCCGCAGTTGAAGGTGGCCGCCAGCTCGCTGCACTTCACCTGTCGCGGGCCCGGACACGGCGGGCGGCCGCTCGCGGCACTCGGCGGAGACTCCGCACGAGGCGCCTCGTCGGCCAGCGTCGTCCTGGCCCGTGCTCTGCCTCCTCAGTGCGTCTGCGCTCATCGCTCGCCTCTCCCCCGAGGAGGAGTTGCGGGAAGGGAGGAGGGTGAAGCGGGGGAGAGATGTCTAGCAGAGGGAGGAGGGTGGAGCGACGAGGGAAGGAGGAGGAAGGGGGCGGATGGACGAGAGAGGGAGGAGGAGGGAAGGAAGAGAACTGACATGGAGGGCAGGATGGAGCAGGGAGGAGGGAGGAGAAAAGAGGAAAGAGAGAGGAAGAATGGAGAAGGTGGGAGGGAGCCAATGGAGGATTTGAACAACTCGATGAAGCGAATGACGACGAGGAGAAAGAAGAAACTGACCCAGAAACGGTAGTGATGCAAGCCGGCGGATAGGACAGGGAACGATCATAATCAACAATAACAAAGATTCGTCCACACGTTGCGCTCTGCACGTGCTAGAATGCAGCTGCATGGATCCGACCACATTTCCCCAGCGCTCGCACACGACAGCTGGCAGACTACACGCAGTGAAGCCAAACACATGCGCTGTCCGCGCTTGCTGACGATGGTCAGACGCATGCCGCTGCGCCGCAGCAATTGGGGAACCGCTCGTGCGATGTCTTCCCTACCCTCCACTGCAAAGGCCGAGATTATGCTCATCTTCTGCAAACTCATGGGGATTGCTCTTCATATGAGAGTCGATCTTCTACATTTGACGGGCCATACACGTTCACGTTTCAACGCGTCGATCCCCCAAGCTTTCCCTCCGCGCGAGGACCAGCACTATCCGCTCCAGGCGGCCCCCAGCGGGCCTTCCCCACGGCCGCCAGCCAGCGCTGCGCCGCGGGCATCTCCCAGGCGTCTGCCTGCGGAGGGGCCCTTTTCTGCAGAGAGGAGCTCGCGGCGCGGAAGGGCGGAGGAGGGACAGAGACAGAGAGAGAGAGAGAGAGACAGAACCAAAAAACAAAAGAAACTCATCGCCAGGCGTCGGTCCATCGTTTGCACTTGCCGGGACGTGTTCTCGCTGCCAGGGAGGAGAGACAGGGGCCAAGGGGAGAGGAAGGAGAAGAGGGAGGTGGGGGAGTAGTGAAAGCCTATTATACCTGCTTCCTGCCGCCTCGGGTCCTACGACGCCTCCCCCCTCTTCCTCCTCCTCCTCCTCCTCCTCCTCCTCCTCCTCCTCCTCCTCCTCCTCCTCCTCCTCCTCCATATCTTCCCCTTACGAATAACTTATCCCTGTTGCACCCCGATGCCACTCTTTAGGGCGGCCCGGGCGTTTCGCTTGAGACTCCTTCACCGTCAGTGACTCTGAAGCTTAAAACTGACAACAGCTTCACAGATGGAGGGTGGGTCGTTTTCAAAATATGGTTCTCGCCTTGGCGCCGCGCGCACCCGTCTTGAACTGTGCAAGAGCTTCACGGATTGAGGGCGACTCGCCTCAGCGCCGCGCATACTCGTCTGTAAAAAAATGCAAGAGCTTCACGGATTGAGGGCAAGTGGTTTTCAAATTGTTGCTCTCGCCATAGCGCCGCGCACATTCGTCTGAAACATTTGCAAGAGTTTCACGGATTGAGGGCGGTTCATTTTCAAACTGTGGCTCTCGCCTGAGCACCGCGCAGTTTCGTTTTTTAATGCAAGAGCTCCACGGAGTGATGGCGCTTTCTTTTCAAAATGTGGCTCTCGCATTAGCGCCGCGCACACTCGCCTTAAAACTTTAGAAGAATGTAACGAATTGAGGGCGAGTCGGTTTCAACATGTGGTTCTCGCTTTAGCGCCGCGCACATTCGTCTCAAAAATCTACATGGGCTTCACGTAGTGATGACGGTTCCGTTTCATAATGTGGCTATCGCTTTAGCGCCGCGCATATTCGTCTTCGAAATTTACAAAAAAAATCGAGGACTTCCGTGATCAGCGTACCGGGAATTGCGTCTTGGAAGGACTCATGGCTACGAGGGTGCACAAGTTATGTTGATTCGTGTTCGAGTCCCAGGCATGGCGCTCTGGCACGATTCAGGGTCGTCAAAGCGCAACAAGCAGGTTGATCCGTGGGGTTGGAATCCCGGGAACAATATTGTGGCATGCTCGAGGGTCTTCATACAGTTGTCTTCCAACTAGGCAGTTCCTTCGGCAAAAAGAACCTTGTAGGGGCCTATGAAGAGGGAGCTTGGAGGGAGGGTTTATTCCAGCATCATTGATGCCCCTTGGGTTTACACTGGTCCTCCTCCTCCTCCTCCTCCTCCTCCTCCTCCTCCCCCTCCCCCTCCCCCTCCTCCTCTTCACATTCATGGATCATCATCATCAGCATCATCAGCATCATCATCAGCATCAGCATCAGCATCATCATCATCATCAGCAGCAGCAGCCTCATCATCATGATCATCAGCATCATCAACAGCAGCATCATCAGCATCATCATCAGCATCAGCATCCCCATCATTACAATCGCATGATTATCGTTATCATCCTCAGCATCATCAACATCATCAGCATCAGCATCATCATCATCATCCTAAGCAGCATAATCATCATCAGCATCATCAATCACAACAACCACAACGACAACACAAACATCATCATCACATTTCACCACCATCATCCCCAGCATCATAATCACCATCATCGTTATCATCAGTATCATCAGCTGCAGCAGCAGCATCGCCATCATCATCACCACAACCACCACAATCATATCATCATCCGTAGCCAGTTTGATTCAAGCCTGCCTCGGGCGCCAGGCGGGCGAGGTGCGCGGCATGCCTTTCTCCTTCGTAGGAGAGAGCGGCTGAGTCTCCTCCCCCTCCTGAGCGGCAGTGGCAATGGCTGCGGCTGGCTGCAGAGCCGCCCCCACGGCGGCAGAGCAGCCTCACGACGCTGCGCCTGGCGGCGCGCTGCTTTGGCCAGCAGGGCGCGCCAGGCAGAGCGCAGCGCGGATGGCCTTCGCGGGGCGCCTGCACGCAGCCCTCCGGCGCGAGAGCGGCAGGTCGAAAGCCTGGAAGCGAAGCTCGCGACGGCCCGGGAGGTACAGTAGGGGCTCGACCACAAGAAGCCTTCCACAAGAAGCCGAAACCTGAGACCCCAGGACGTCCATCGATGCTTGGCGTGGGAACGTCACGCCTTCCACAGCAGAACCATCGAAACCCAAGAAACCCACAGCACCCTGGAGGCCAGCAGGGTATTCCTTGGCATGGGCCCCCACTGTACACCAGGCTGCGGCGCTGCAGGCGGCTGCCTTGGTGGAGCTGGACCAGACAGTCCAGCAGGCAGCCGAATGCGTGGACGAGCGCGAGGACTGGACATTCCTCGCGGAACTCACGGGGCGGCTGGTGCTGGAGGCCCTTGTGCTCGCGGCTGGCCTGGCTGCCGAGACACGGAGAAGCGATCGTGCCCCCCAGGTAGGCACACTGGGAGCACGGAGGCGCAATGCCGCCGCTCACGCGTTTCACACGCCCGTCGGTGTGACTGCGAAGGCGGGGGGCATGGAGCTCAACCGCTTCCAGCGGGGGGGCACGGCCTCAGCCTGCTGCTAGGCGCCGGCGGCATCCTTGCAGCCGCCGCCGGTGGCAGTCCGCGGCGCCTGGCCCGGCACCGTCGGTTTGCCTGAGGCACGCGCGGCCTGCGACGCAGGACCGTGCAGCTGGGCCGTCGTTCGCAGGCGCGGGCACTGCCTGCCTGCTGGCGTCCGCTTCGCGCTCTCGGAGCGGGTCTGCAGCGCTGGCCAGCCCATCATGGCACCCTTCGTCTCGGGCGCGCGACGGTGGAGGAGGAGGAGGAGGAGGAGGAGGAGGAGGAGGAGGAGGAGGAGGAGGAGGAGGAGGAGAAGGTCAGCATCGAGGAGGAGCTAGACATCCAGGAAGGCATTGGCGTCCCTGAGCGTTACGACGGGCACCAGCAGCACTTCACGGCGCACGATCACAAGTCGAACACCGCGGAGCAGCCCAGCGATGGGTCTCATCGCCTGGTCTCGCTCGTCGGAGGTGGGCCCCATCCTCGAGGATCTCAGGAAGGCTTGGGCGGCTGCAGTCGCCTCGACGGCATTGGTAGACGCCTCCTAGATGGGGTCGGAGTAGATGGGGTCGGAGGATCGCGCCGCATCGCCGATACATCGGCGATGCATCAGCGATGCATTGGCGATGCATCGGCGATGCACCAGCGATGCATCGTCGGCGTGGGCGATGCATCGGCCACGTCGACGTGAAGCAAATCGGGCCGCATCGCCGATGCATCGGCGATGCGGCGCGACCCTCCGACCCCATCTGCTCCGACCCCATCTAGGAGGCCCAGAATTGGGCGACAAGCTGCAGGTGCCCCCAAGGGTAGTGAAGGCTCCCGAGGGGCGCTTGGCCTTGGCGCTCGGGCCCCAGCTGGCCGCCGAGGAAGCTTCGGCCGGGGCTCGGCACACGGCCTTCGGGCGAGGAGGTGGACAGGCTCGAGGACGAGATCGAGGTTGGCATGGAGGGCCCCTGTGCAGCCCTGGCCTCAAGGCTGCGGAAGGCGGCCCATGCCCGCAGGCGAAGGTGGAGCTGCGATCGCGCCATGGCTCGCATTCGCCGCACTCTTCGCTTCCACTTGGATCGGCGACGGGGCCTGATCCTGCTAGCCGCTACGGCCGCCAGCTTCTGTCAACATAGCTGCTTCGCAGCCACTCATGGGCGTGCGCGGCCTTCCCAGCTGAGCACATGTTCGCACTCAGGCTCCGAGCTGTGTGAGTTTTCTCGGAGGTGGATATTACGCTGTGCTGTGTTTGCGAATTGCTTCTCACACGCTGCTGTGGCACTTGGCCGCGGCCGTCGTGGCAGGCGCCATTATCTGGGGCAGTGCAGTCCTCGCTGATGATGCCATTGGGCACGGCCGGACGCTGCGCGTGAGGCGCCGAGCTGGAGCTCTAGTCCGCTTTACATGCGCTGCATCCTCCTCCTCCTCCTCCTCCTCCTCCTCCTCCTCCTCCTCCTCCTCCTCCTCCCCCTCCTCCTCCTCTCATCCTCCTCCTCCTCCTCCTCCTCCTCCTCCGCCTCCTCCTCCGACTCCTCCGACTCCTCCTTTTCATCATCATCATCATCATCATCATCATCATCATCATCATCATCATCATCATCATCATCATCATCATCATCATTATCATCATCATCATCATCATCATCATCATCATCATCATCATCATCATCATCATCATCATCATCATCATCATCATCATCATCATCATCATCATCATCATCATCATCGCCATCATCATCATCATCATCATCATCATCATCATCATCGTCATCGTCATCGTCATCGTCATCGTCACATCACCATCACCAGCATCATCATCATCCTCATCATCATCATCATCACCATAATCAGCATCGCCATCATCAGCGTCATTGTCGTCATCGTCAGTATCATCATCATCATAATCATCATACCATCATCATCATCATCATCCTCATCATCATCACTATCAACATGTTCAACATCGTCGTCATCATCACCATCAGCAGCAACACCACCATCGCCATCATCAGCATCCTTATGTTCTGCATCATCAGCATCATAATCAGAATCAACATCACCACCATAAGCATCACCATCGTCTGCATGACCATCATCAGCCTCACCATGGTTGGCATGACCATCAGCACCATCAGCATCATCATCAGCAACAAGATCGTCATCATGAGCATCATCTTCATCATCATCATCATCATAAGCACCACCATTGTCATCATGATATTAATCGTCATCATCGTAATCATCATGATCCTCGTCCTCGTCATCGTCATCGATATCGACAGCAACCTTACCATTCACATCATCATCATCATCATCATCATCATCATCATCATCATCATCATCATCATCATCGTCATCATCATCACCAGCATCGTCAGTATCATCATCAGCTGCATCATCAACGTCATCATCGTCATCCTCATCATCAGTAGCATCACCATCACGATCACCATCACCAGCATCGGCATCACCAGCATCGTCAGCAGTATCATCAGCATCATCAACATCATCATCATCGTCATCAGCATCATCATCTTTATCAGCAGCAGCATCATCATCGCCGTGATCGTCGACAGCAGCAGCATCAACATCGTCATCGTCGTCATCAGCATCATCATCGCCACCATCATCATCACCGCCCTAAACATCATCCTCACCAATATCACCATCACATCCTCATCATCAGCGTCAGCGGCATCATCAGACGAATTATAGTACATAGTACTAATAATGAGCCCCATACGACTAGTAATAGTGATACTAGAAATATTAAATATCCAACCTCAAAAATTAACATCGATCACTATAACACTAAACACAATAATCATGCTTATCAGCAGCAGCAGCATCATCATCGTCATCATCAACATCATCATAATCATCATGACCATCATGTTTACTGCGCTGTGTCAAATCATCCGGCAGGGTCTGAACACATGATCGTCGATGCGCATTTCAGGGCACACAGGGCTGCCACCATGCAGATCTATAGGACCACCTGGTCCTCCTACTGGCGATGACCTCTGGAGAGGGCGTACGGTCTGGAGGAGCTTCTGCTTAGCATGTCGCGGCGGCAGGCCCAGCGACATGCCATGCCCTGCGAGCGGACATCGTGTCGCTCGGCTCCGCGGGACCAGAGGCTGGGAAAAGCTCAGGACGTTGACGCTTGGGGATTCGAACTTGGTCAGCGTGTCGCGCTGGAGCGTGGTGGGCCAGAAACAACGGCGCGACACCCGAACCCAAAGTTCTCGACCGCATTGCGGCATCAGTGGTCCGTGCTGGGCTCACTTGAGGTCGGGCATGTCCTCCTACACGGGGATCTTGGAGGAAGAATAAGAAATAGTCAAACAAAACTCCAAATACATTCACAAATAGTTGAAAAACGTCTCCAGACTATCTTTTACTATTCTTGTACACTCCCCCTGTAGAGGGACACGCCCGACGTAAGGCTCGCTCTGGCGGCCCCCCTCGAGGGCACTTCTGCTCGCGCCTCGCTCTGCCCCGAGCGCGAAGCGCGAACCACTTACCGCCACACCCCGGTTTAGAATCGGGCGTTGGCAGAACTGGGTTTAGTGGAACCTGGTTTAATGATTTGTACCGGGGGCGCCCCCCCGTCCCATCTCCACTAACCTGAACTGCCGTCACCCGAAAAACACCAGTTACGGCAAACCTGGTTTAGTGAATCTGGCCAATTGAGGGGCCCCAGGGCCCTACCACTAGCCGGGTCCCCTTACCCGGGGCCCTGGCTATACCCGATAGAAGGTGAGGCCGAGGAGGGCGAGGGCGCGGAGTCGCGCATCGCGAACCGCAGACCCCTTCGTGCCCGCGTGGCGGTCCTCGCCTCCTCCCCCCGCGGAGAGCCCCCGCCCCCTCCTGGAGCTTGGCCACGAGGTGCTCGGGCAGCACGCCGTCGCAGCAGCGCTGCAGGCCCCCGGACGCCACCGGCGCGGCGCCCTTGAGCAACCCCTCTCGCGACAGGGCCTCAGCAGGGCGACGACGACGACGATGACGACCACGACGACATCGACGACGACGACGACGACGACGACGACGACGACGACGACGACGACGACGACGACGACGACGACAAAGGTGTCGAGAGGACGACGACAGCGACGACGACGTGGAGACGAGGACGACTACGGCGACGGGGAGGAAGGGGGAGAGGGGCAGGGAGAGGATGGGGGGGCGAACGAGAAGGAGAGGGAGGACGATGAGGATGTGGAGGCGGTTGCCACCACCGATGCAGGCTGCAGTGCTGTTCTCGCAGAGAGAACAAGGTAGCTGGACTCGAGGCAGCTGAGGGTGTTCACCCGTCGGCATAATCTACCAGACGCACCCGAGGAGGACGACGACGGCAAGAGCAACAGGAAGGAGGAGGGGGCAGGAGGGGGAAAGACCGACCCAGACTTACGTACCCTGGGGGCCTCCTCCTCCTCCTCCTCCATCCTCCTCCTCTTTCTCCTCCTCCTCCTCCTCCTCCTCCTCCTCCTCCTCCTCCTCCTTCGCCTGGTCCAATCTCATCGACGGCTCGGGGTCTCCTTAGGGCGGGACCAGCAGGGGCTGTACGTAGATGCGAGCGGGCGTGAGGAGCGCGTCGCCGAGGCTGCGGGTGGGGTCGAACGGCGCCGCCTGAAGCCGAGGCGACAACGACAGGCCTTCCGTCCATGACCGTCCAGCCCCTCCATCCCCCCATGCCTCCCTCCCTCTGTCCCTGCTTCCCTCCCCACATTGTCAGCATCATCATCGCAATCAGCATCATCATCAGCATCAGCATCGTCATCATCACCATTATCATCATCATCATCATCATCAGCATCATCATCATCATCATCATCATCATAATCATCATCATCATCATCATCATCATCATCATCATCATCATCATCAGCATCATCATCATCATCATCATCGTCATCCTCATCATCATCAGTATTGTAATCATCATCCGCATCGTCATCAGCAGCATCGTCATCCTCATCAGCATCATCATCGCCATCAGCATCAGCATCATCATCGTCATCATCACCATCATCCTCATCATCAGTATCAGCATCATCATCATCATCATCAACGGTATCAGCCTCATGATCATCATCAGCAGCATGACCAACGACAACACCAACATCATGGTCATCATCCTAATCATCAGCAGCAGCATCAGAAGCAGCAGCACCAACAACAGCATCATCATACTGATCATCGTCATCATCATCAAAATCAGCATCGTGAGCAGCATCCCCATCATCAACAACAACAGCATCCTCATCAGCATCACCGTCGTCAGCAGCAGCATCATCATCCTCAGCATCACCACCAGCATCACCATCACCACCAACACCACCATCAGTCTCACCATCAGCATCATCAGCATCATCAGCATCGGCATCGTCAGCATCATCATCCGCACCATCATCAGCAGCAGCAATACCATCATCATCATCATCATCATCAGCATCATCATCATCAGCATCATCATCATCATAAGCATCATCATCAGCATCAGCAACATAACCATCATCAGCATCAGCACCATCATCAGTCACATCAGCATCAGCATAATCAGCATCATTAGTGGCAGCATCGCCAGCACCCTTGGTGTCATCATCATCAGCAGCATCAGCATCAGCAACAGCAGCCGCATCATCACCATGATCGTCGGCAGCATGTTCAGCAACAGCAGCATCCCTCGCCGTCCTACATCGTTAGCCACATCCTCCGAGGCATCCTCCCCCTGTATGTTCCTCCTCCTCCTCCTCATCATCATCCGCATCAGCATCATCATCATCATCAGCATCAGCATCATCATCAACAGCATCAGCATCGTCATCATCGCCATCAACATCACCAGCATCACCATCAGCATCAGTGGCATCGGCATCGTCGTCATCAGCATCATTATCAGCATCAGCATCATCATCATCAGCAGCATCAGCAGTATCGTCAGCGTCAGCATCAACATGATACTCAGCATCATCACCAGCAGCATCAGCATCATCATCAGTAGCAGCACCATCATCATCAGCAGCATCAGCATCAGCAGCATCATCAACATATTACCTCTTCCTCCTGCCTACACCACCCCTCCCCATGAGTATCCCGCTCCGCTTCTCCCTCCACCAGGCCGTCCGCCAGATCCTACTCCTCGTCGTCCTCCTCCCCCGCCTCTTCCGTTTCCTCCTCCTCCTCCGCCTCCTGCCCCTCATCTTCTTAATCAATATCACAACCAGCAAAACAGCAACAGCAGCATCAGCGTCGGTATCAGCATCATGCTCAGCATCATCATCAAGATCTGCATCAGCAGCATCGGCATCATCAGAGTCCTCGTCATAGCCACCACCAGCATCACCATCATCACCACCATCACCCCATTTGCACCACCAGCATCATCAGCATCGTCAGCAATCCCAGCACCATCATCATCATCATCATCATCATCATCATCATCAGCAGCAGCAGCAGCAGCCGCATCATCATCAGCAGCAGCATCAGCATCAGCATCATCATCATCAGCAGCAGCATCAGCAGCATCATTATCATGGTCATCAGCATCATCAGCAGCAGCATCAACATCGGCATCAGCATCGGCATCATCATCATCAGCATCAGCATCATCAACAGCATCGCCAACATAATCGTCATCAGCATCATCAGCAGCAACAGCATCATCAGCATCATCATTAGCATCGTCATCAGCAGCATCATCATCATCATGGTCAGCACCACCACAATCAGCATCATCATACTAATCAGCATCATCATCATCAGCATCAGCATCATCATCATCATCATCAGCATCATCATCATCATCATCATCATCGTCGTCGGCATCAGCATCATCATCATCAGCAGCAGCAGCATCATCAACACCATCGTCATAAGCAGCGCCATCACCATCAGCACCACAAACATCATCAGCATCATCAGTGTCATCACAATCGTCATCAGCACCACCATCATCATCAGCAGCATCATCCTCTGTAGCATCATCATCATCATCATCGTCAGTATCAGCATCGTCGTCTCCAGCATCAGCATTACCATCAGCATAAGCTTGACCAGCATCAGCAACATCGTCATCAGCATCATCACCATCAGCATCAGCGTCACCATCACCAAACAAATATCACCCTCAACATCATGATACATCTATCCATCCATTCATCCACCATCCTCCTCCCCCCCTCCTCATCCTTCTCCTCCGCCTCCTCCGCCTCCTCGTCTTCCTCTTACGCACCACTGTCTTGTCCGTCTCCTCATCCTCATCCTCGTCATCCTCCTTCTCCTCGTCATCCTCCTTCTCCTCATCCTCCTCCTCCTCGTCCTACTACTTCGCAAACGTCATTCTCCTCCTCCCCCCCCCTCCTCCTGCTCCTCGTCCTCCTTCTCCTCATCATCCATCCTCCCTCCTCCCTTCTCCGTCCTCCCTCCTCCCTCATCCCTCCTCCCCTCCTCCCTCCTCCCTCCGCCCAACTCCCTCCTCCCTCCTCCTTCCCTCCTCCCGGCCTCCCGGTTGCTCCTCCCCCCCCCCCTCTCCTCCTCCTCCTGCTCCTCCTCCTCCGCCTCCTCCTCCTCCTCCTCCACCTCGTCCTCCTCCTCCTCCTCCTCCTCCTCCTCCTCCTCCCACCTCCTCCCTCCTCCCACCTCCCGACTACATCTTCCATCGCTTCCTCCTCCTCCTCCTCCTCCTCCTTCTTATTAGTTGTATTAGTATTATTCGTATGATTACCGTTATTACTACTACTATGATTAGTAATAATATAACAATATCATTCGCATTCGTATTCTTAAGCTTCTTATAAGTGGTCTTAGCATTCGTATTCATGTTGCGCTTGAGCGTAGTCTTCTCGGTACTCATTATCTTCATAGTCTTCATAGTCTCATATGCTTGATATGAGTATGCGTACTATTATTAGTGTGATCCTCCTCCTCCTCCTCGTCCTCCTCGTCCTCATCAGCATCATCAGCATCAGCATACTAATCAGCATCATCAGCATCATCCTCATCATCAGCATCGTCATCAGCAGCATCATCAGCATCATCATCAGCATCATCAACATCTGCATCATCAGCATCAGCAGCAGCAGAATCAGCAGCTTCATCATCAACAGCAGCTTCATCATCACCAGCATCATGAGCATCGTCAGCATCAGCAGTCGTAGCATCATCGGCATGATCATCAGCAGCATCATCATCAGAAGCATCAGCATCATCGTCAGCATCAGCAGCATCATCCTCATCGTCATCATCAGCATCACCATACACATCAGTAGCTTCATCATCAACAGCAGCATCAGGATCAGCAGCATCATCGTCATCATCAGCGTCATCGTCATCAGCATCCTCATCATCATCATCATCATCATCATCATCATCATCATCATCAGCATCAGCATCAGCATCAGCAGCATCATCATCATCATCATCAGCAGCATCATCATCGTCAAAAGCATCATCATCGTCATCATCATCAGCAGCAGCATCATCCCTCCTCCCTCCTCTGGCGACCAGCAAACAGGACAGCCGCCCAGCAGAGACTCTGACCAGTGTGCTCATTGTCAGGACAAGCAGATGTGCGAAGTCTGTCGCGCGCGTACTACAACTCAGGCCACCAAGGCCCGACGTGACTCGGAGACGTGCCCTGGGTACAGCAGGGCCTTGCCCTACCTCTCGCAAGACAGCAGAGGCCACAATATGTATGTTTTCCCGCGGCTACAAGCCAAGAGTTGTTTGCTTGCCTGCTGGGGCTGCGGTGCGCTTGTAGAATGCATGGCCCGAGGCTTCCAGAGGCCTTGCCCCAGTGCCCCTCCCGGCAGCAACAAAGTCGCGGCCGTGACTTGTCTCAGAGAGAGAGTGGACAATCAAATTCGATAAGTCCAGTCGTATAGACTTTGATGCCCCTGTCAGCCTCCCCATGTCTACACGGGCAACGCAACTGGCGCTGGAGGAAGAAAGCGGCAGCAGTCCAGAAACATCTGCCGCCGCCAGCGCCTCCTAGGCGCCAAGACTCAGACACGGTCGGATGCGATGGCCCCTCCTCCCTCATCCCTCATCCTTCCTCCGTTCTCTCTCCTCCATCATCCCTCCGCCCTCCTCCCTCCTCCGTTCCGTCTCCTCCCTCATCCCTCCTCCCTCCTCCCTCCTCCCGTCTCCCGCTTCGCTCCTGCTCCCTCCGTTCTCCCTCATTCCTCCGCCCTCCGCCCTCCTCCACCACCCCTCCTCCCTCCTTCCTCATCCCTCCACCCTCTGCCTCCACTCTCCGCCCCACACCCCTCCATCATCATCATCATCATCATCATCATCATCATCATCATCATCATCATCATCATCATCATCATCATCATCATCATCATCATCATCATCATCATCATCATCATCATCATCGTCGTCGTCGTCGTCGTCGTCGTCGTCGTCGTCGTCGTCGTCGTCGTCGTCGTCGTCGTCGTCGTCGTCGTCGTCGTCGTCGTCGTCGTCGTCGTCGTCGTCATCAGCATCATCATCATCATAATCACCATCATCATCATCAGCATCATCAGCAGCATCAGCATCAGCATCATCATCTTCAACAACATCAGCATCAGCATCAACATCAGCAGCAGCAGGGCTCAACACTCCGACCCTTGTATTGGCTGACCCTTCTGCTGCAGTCACAGATATCCATATTTCTCTGCACTGCTCCGTACCCCCATTCATGCATGGAGTGTGCCTTAGCATCTTCAGCGTAGTCTTACACGGCTCGTTGCCCGTGTGCAGATCAGCTGACATGCTAGACCAGGTCGTGTGTGCACATCCGTATGCATTAGGCCTGTGGCTCATGCGTCATATGATCGATCTCATTTGATGTGAGATCTTGCGGCTCCGGAGGGCGCGACTGCCCAGGCGTGGCCTAGAGTATGGACCACGCCTGCACGTCCCAAGGCGGGGCCCGCAAGAGTTCCGAGCAAGCTTGGGGAAGCGGGAGGGGGAATAGAGGTATGTCTGGACTCGCTCGCCCTTCACCTGACCCCCTCTGCCTTTGCTCACTCGTACTCTTCACGGCTCTTCACCAAGCAGCTGACCGATCGACACATTATCATAAAAACGTGCGCATAAAAAACGTCAAGATGTCGTCTGTGATGCCTCCCGGGCTGTCCTCTGAGAAACATGGATCCAGCGGAATCCAGACGTCGCGCAATTTCCTCGAACTCCCCGTGCGGAATTGGCTACCTGATATCCAAGCACTCCCTCTTGCTCGTATCCTCTAGCATGCGTGCGTGGCCTGTGACGTGGTGCCCAAGGATAACTACAGAAAGATGGCCGAATCGATAGCTGTTAAGTTTGGCACCCGGGCCGTCAACGGGTTTCGTGACCACGCATTGCTTGAATCGTACAAGAACGTCCGTTGCGTCGTGGCCACATGGATCATCCGAGGCAGAGAAGACTGCAGCGCATTCACACTGCATTGCTGCCTGGGTGTCTACCAAGGCACGCTGTACGCAACGGATCAGAATGCCTCTAGAACGCATATCCGCGCCATAACTAGATCATGCTCCCCGCAAGTGCGTACCGTCCTCCTTACCAGAATGTTCAACACGCCATAATGGAAGCAATGTGCCTCACGCCTTCATGCTTCGTTGCGGCACCCATCGGGCTCCAAAAATAGCAGCAAGCTGTACATCGCGTGGTCAACAGAGAAAAGCGTGTGGTAAGTCGGAAAAGCACAAACGTCCCGCCGATCGACTCGTTGTGTCTAAGGCGGCGGCGGGCTTAGCGGATTTCGAGAACACGTTAAGACAACTTACCGTGACCTTGGGGGCCAAGGATACCGTCCAAGATAAGACAGTTGGCGAGGATATTCATGATGGTCGCTCGTGGTTGCACCCGTGGCCCGAAAGTTCGAGAGTTGGAGTATCGACGTCATTCGACCTCCCACCGACTGTCTCAGGGAATTGCCCTGTCCATGCCGCATCTCTCCCAAAAACACCGCCTGGCACCTCCCGAAGACCCCTCCCAAGACAACAACCGAAGCCAGGTATTGTCCGTAAGAACCAACTCAACATGTTTGCAGGTATCACAAGCAATCCAGTCCTCCCGCGGCGATTCTTGGCGAAGCGGGTGGGTTACCATGAATTGCAGGCGCGGTGCAAGCTGTCGCTGTCGAAATCTCGAGCTGAAAGCCTCATGTACGTGCGTGTTTGGACGCCCGGAATGGGTACGGAAAAATGGGTACAATGCTCAACAACAAATGTTGTCCCAGACCGACAGCGGCTGCTGTTGGGCAGGCGGCCTTCCGCCTCAAATGGACACAGGCCGCGGCGGCGCGGACAGCGAATCCTGTTCAAAATGTACAGGATATGCTGTTGGGCACTGTACCCATTCTTTCCGTGCCCATCTCGCTCGTGCAGAACGCGCGTGGCTTCGAGCCTCGGCTGGCCACCTTTCTGGCCACGCCGGGGAATGGGCTCGACTATCGTGCCGTGCGGCGGCACGCGCAGGTCGCCGAAGACGCCCTCGGCACATGGGCGTGGGCAGAACACGTGCCTCCTGCAGTGGAGGCCAGTCCACGAGGAACCCTCCACAAGAAATAGGGGAACAAAAAGTGGCATAAACAGAAAAACTCGGAAGTCCGCGCGGATTTCTCGGATCGGCGCTGGGGCCCTCCGGCGGCGCCTCCGGCGCCACCCCTGGCGCGCTCCGCGCGCCAGGGAGGGGGGTCCAGCGCCGATCCGAGAAGTCCGCGCGGACCTCCGAGTTTTTATGTTTATGTCACTTTTTGTTCCCCTACACAAGAAACCCAACCCTGAGACCCCAGGACGTCGATCAATTTTTGGTGCGGGGACGTCACGCTCTCCATGGCAGAGCCATCGAAGCCCAAGAAGCCCACAGCACCCTGGAGGCAAGCAAGGTGTTTCTTGGCATGGGCCTCCACTGTACTCAGCGCATGCTTGCCCAGCAGAAGCTGGAACGACTCCTCTCCTCTGGCAATTGGCTCCCCGCGAACACATACAGCATACTATGTGGGCGTCCCTCGTGACAGCCAGTGGGTCATCCGGCATGTGCGGCGTGTCTTCCGAGACAATCCTGCACAAGTCAGCAACGGTTGCCCCCACATGGCTTCGCTTCTTTCTTCGAAAGACCCGTGTGTGTGTGTGCCTGTAAACAGCCCTCGTACAGCAATTACCTTACAGAGCAGGTTGCGATCTCCTCTGACCTGGCCCTGCCCGCATACGACCGCACGTGAAGCAGCCCGTCACACGAGCCTTATCTTTCCCATGACGTATACTGGTGTGGCACAGATTGGAGAGCACCCGTACCTCCTGGTGCACTGCAGCTGTGGGAGCATGACCGCGAGCATGGAGGAAAAGGCACGAGGAAGAGAACTACTGTCAGCAGCTTCTGCTTGGCGTGCCGCGGCGGCGGCCCTGGCGACAGCCGTGTCCTGCGAGCTGATGGCGTGTCGCTCCGCTCCGCAAGGCGGCACACAGAGAAAGGCTCGGGACATTGACGCCTGGGACGTGGGACGTGGTCAGCGCAACGGCCCAAAACGTGGTGGGCCAGGACCGGCGACGCGACACGCTGAGCCAGAATTCCCGAATGCGAGGAGGAGGACGAGGAGCACGCTATGGAGCCGCTCAAGCTGCGAGCATGACCGGCCGCCTGGTTGTAGTCGAGCCCGGCCGCGCGGATGATGAAGCGGACCAGGGAGAACCCGTTGCTGTGCAGGCCTGTGTCTCCTCCTCCTCCTCCTCCTCCTCCTCCTCCTCCTCCAGCCCCTCCTCCTTCTCCTCCTCTTCCTCCTCCTGCCTCTCCTGCTCTGCACCATGATGAAGTTCGGATCGATTCGGGCCCCGCGGGTGTCTTTGCCGAAACGCTCGACACCTCGGCGTCGTCTACGCGACAACCAAAAGTCTGTCAAACTGGTTTTACTGGCTGCCTGGTCTCTTTGGCTCGGCCCGCGCTGGACGAGGAGGGGGAGGAGGATGAGGAGGAGCGAGGTAGAAAAAGGGGGCTGCTCTGCCTAATCCTACTGCCGCTGCTCATACCATAGCCACCAGCGATGCTCTCCCTGCGAATGGTGACAGCAACAACCACAATCACAATACCAACGATCAAAACCAGCCGTGGCGACGAGGGGCCCCGCCGAAGGCCAACTGCCGCTGTCTCCTCCAGCCCTCATCTGCTCACCCGCCTCCGTGCACCCCTGTCATCGGCGGTCGCCGATCACGCTGAGCAGGTGAGCGAGCCCGAACGCGAACACCGCGGTCGGCAGGCGGGCGCCGCGACGAGCGCGGCGATCGGCCAGCGCGGCCAGAGGCGGGAAGGAGCGCGGCGATCGGCAGCGCCCCTCAGAGGGGCAGAGGGGCCTCAGTGAGAGCAGCAGCGCGGATCCCCGGCCAGCGCACAAAGAGCGGAGGTCGGGCATTCTTTGACGGGGGAAAGAGGGCGGAGTGAAGAAGCGCGGTGTTTGAAGCCAAAGAACTGCTTGCTTTGATTCCAAAACCAAATGCTTGAATTCAAGAGCCACTTACCTGGATTCAAAGACCTCAGGTCTTTGAAATGCTTGAATTCAAAGAACAGGCTGTTCTTTGAATTCAAAAACCGATGACGCGGCGTGAAGAAGCGCCCAACCTTCCGTGCACCTGTGGTGGCCCGCGGTGGCAGGTGGCGGGCCTCGTGTAGGGCCGCGTTCCTGCGATCTCCGACCTCCCTGCGCTCATTGCCCCCTCCTCCTCCTCCTCCTCCTCCCTCCTCCTCCTCCTCCTCCTCCTCCTCCTCCTCCTCCTCCTCCTCCCTTCCTCCTCCCCCCCCCGCCGCCCCCTTGCCGCCCGTCCGCGGCGGAGGAGCCGACTCCGAACCTGTGAGCCCAGGAGCTGCTGCGCCCAGTCGAGGCGGCCCCCGCGGTGCGCCGGGGGCACGCCCCTCCGACGGCATCGCTGCCGCGCGGGCCGCCACCGCCTCGCGCCCGTCCCGGCGGGGCGCGCAAGGGGGTGGCGCGAGGGGGGCGGCCTTGTTCTCCATATCCCAAGGTGGGGCTCTTGTGGTTCCCCATGTCCTGAGATGGGTCCTTGCATGTATTACATGGCTCCGAGAGAACCTCCTCGCCTCCTCCTCCTCCTCTCCCGCCATCGGAGTGACTCACTCGCGCTCAGACTCGTTCGTACTCAGCCGTGCTCCGACTTTTTCACACTCGAACGCACTCCCACCCTGACGCACTCATACTCTTTTTCGCTCACGCTCAGACTCATTCACAGCCAAACCTCTTACACTCTGAATCACTCGTATTCAGACTTAGTATAGGCAGACTCGCTCACACACATACTCGCTCACACTTACACTTGCTCGCTCTCGGACTCCTTCCCTCTCAAACAAGCTCACAGTCGTACTTGTGCCACATTCAGACGCAACCCACTCATACCCATTGGTGGTCCAATGCTCACCGAGATATCGCAGGCGTATCACTGGGTCACCCCAGGGAAAGGGCGCCAAGGGTGGGGACACTCCAAGATTCGCGCCAAGATTGTGGGGATGTCTCAGGCGGTTTGCCTGTTTGCGTGCCCAACATCCTCGGATTTCGGAGCAGATGTTGAGGATGTCTCAGGCGAGGCGTTGGTTTCAGCACTCCTACAGACAGCCAGGTACGATTGGCACGATTTCCTGGACTCGAAGCGTGACCTTACTAAGGTGCCGGCGACGACGACGACGACGCCAGCGACGGCCAGGTCCACTGATCAAAAAGCGCCACGGCCCAAACATCGGAACCCAGAGGAGCAGCTCGGGAAAAATTCTAGACGGAACCGTCTGAGAAAAGTTCTGGAAGGAGCCGCCTGTGTAAATATAAGGGCACAGTGGTCCGACAGGATTCGTGCCAAACACACAATTTTCCCCCCACTCGGACTGTCCCAAACCCATCGAAGTTACATAGAACCCGACCAACAAACGAAGCATCGGACCCGCACAAGATCCGCAGCGGATCCGAAGCCCGGATCCGACGCCCGAAGCGAGGTTGACACTCCCGAGCGGGTGCCCTCGTCAACGTCTGCGGGGGTCCCTGCATTCGGGCGCTCAACGCTGCGCCCATCGCCCGCGACCTGCCGCCAAACCACTTTTCCCCAGGCTGGCTGGGCCGACGGCCCCTGGCATGGCTGGACCGACAATATGGCACCTTCCTGCGATTCGGGACTTCGGGCCGAATTTCCAAATCGCACCAACCGACCTGACTCTGTAACAGACAATCATATACGCTTGGTACGACATGCCTGGACTCACGCGCGCGCATGCGTTTCGTTTCACGTATTGCAGAAAAGAGCATTGAAAACTGATGTTTTTTTGAATGCGCGCGCATGGTTCTCCAGAGGATGAAGGGGGCGATATCGGCCTGCCTGGGACGGTACGAATTCATACTTAGGATGGACCGTGGGGCAGAATCGTATCGAAATCGCGATGCGCAAGGGGTAGTGTTAAATCTAGTGGGGGGAGGTGGATCCTATTACTCTTTGAAAATGGAGAATAACTGCTGTGCTGCACTCTGCGTGGTGCACTAAATGTTGCACAACCCATGTGGTGCAACATGCACAAAAATCTAATGTGTGCAGGCCACGTGGCGCAAATTACCTGGTGCAGTTGGTTGTAACAAACGAGCTGGTGCCCCCCATGCTCTTGCAAGAACTTTACCCGCCCACCCGCAACTTGGTTTGCAAAACCACGCGGTGGCGATAGCGATTCATGCTTGGCGTCGGCTGGTGCATCTGTGCGGCCGCCGCGCCAACCCTAGCACGCGCGCAGCGGCCAGCTAGTTTGGCGCCACCGACGCTGCCGCGGTGGCGCTGACCACTGGGCACATCCCAACGGGCACTTCACAGCGAGTCGGCGAATTGGGCGGGCGCGGTATCATGGCAACGTCGACAACGGCAGTCACGATGATGATGACAGCGATGCTGGTGACGATGTTGACACCGACAAAGGCGCGGTTTGTGCGGGCGCCGATTCAGATTACGCCGACGACGATAAAGCCGCCCTCGCGTGGGCGACCAAGGTTTTGGAAAGAGTTCGACGTGCGCGCGCGGCCAACGCGCGAGTGGCCTGCGCGGTTTCATTCGACACGGATCGTGCCTCCCCAGCACGCGCGCAAGGGCGTGCGAATGATGTCGGCATGCGGCGCCAGAGGCCCGTTTGGCAGAATCCCGAGAAAATGTTTGGACAAAACTATGAATATCTGACGAATGCGCAAGAGCGCGAGCGCACAGTTTCTTGGGGAAACTGATGATGCGAAATCAGGTGTTTTTCGTATGGTGCTTGACGTTCGGTTTCGAAGTCGTTACGAATCCGCAGGTGCTTGACGGATATCGGCATGCGCGCGCGACGATTCGCGCGCGCGCACTTCGCCCCATCTGATGCACACGATTCTTGCCACGGCACGCGCGCAAGGGCGTTCGAGCGACTTCGACATGCGCGCGCCAAGCCCCTTTTGGTAGCATGTTCTGTACATGTTGAAACACCCATGGTTTTCTAAAGAATTCGCAAGAGCGCGCGCGCACGCTCTCTTTGAAAATACGTGTTGCGAAAGCATGTTGGTTTATCTGACGTTTGGACACTCGATTTCAAAACCCTGACGACAACAGAAATGTTTTGAAAGATGTCGGCATGCGCGCGCGACAACGCGCCCGTTCACACTTCGTCCCATGTTTCGCAAGGGATTATCACAAACTTTTGAATTGTGATAAACGAGCGCGCGTGGTATTTTGTTGCAGAGGATGACGGGGGGAACGATACCGGTTAGCCTGGGATGGTACGACTCCGACTTAGGATGGACGATGGGGCAGAATCAGATGCAAATTGCAATGCGAAAAGGGGAACCGATAATCCCTGGGGGGAGTCGAGTCTATTCTATTTTCTTTTAGGAAAGTGAGTCTAAGTGGTGCTACCCATGTGATGCAATCTACGGTGTGCAAGTGATTTGAACAAACAAGCTGACATACCCCAAGCTCTTGCAAACAGCTCACCCACCCACCCGCAACTTGGTTTGCAAAACCGATGCGGTGGCGATTGCGATTCATGCTTGGCGTTGGCTGGTGCATCTCTGCGGCCGCGCCAACCACAACACGCCCGCGCAGCGGCCAGCTAGTTTGGCGCCACCGGCGCGGCCGCGGTGGCGCTGACCGCTGGGCACATCCCAGCGGGCACTTCACTGCGAGTCGGCGAATTGGGCGGGCGCGGTATCATGGCAACGCCGACAACGAAAGACACGATGATGATAGTAGCGATGCTGGTGATGATGCTGCCACCGACGAAGGTGCGTCCAGTGCGTGCGCCGATGCCGGTTAGGTTACGCCGACGACGATGACGGCGTCCTCGCGTCAGTGGTGGAGGTGTTGGGAAGAGTTCGACGCGCGCGCGCGGCCAACTCGCGAGAGTGGCCTGCATGGTTTCGTTCGACATGAGTCGTGCCCCCCCAGCACGCGCGCAAGGGAATGTGAATGATGTCGGCATGCGGCGCCAGAGGCCCGTTTGGCAGAATTCCGAGAAAATGTTGGAAAATCGATGGTTTCCTGAAGAATGCGCAAGAGCGCGAGCGCACGTTTTTTTTTGAAAACTGATGGTGCGAAACCATGTGTTTGTGGATGTTTTTTGGACACTCGGTTTCGAAATTGCTACGAAACCAATCATGTTGTTTAACGGATTTCGGCATGCGCGCGCGACGACGCGCGCGCGTGCTCTTCGTCCCATTTGTTGCAAAGGATTCTCGCGACGGCACGCGCGCAAAGGCGTTCGAACGGTTTCGACATGCGCGCTCGAAGCCCGTTTGGTAGCATGTTCTAAAAATGTTGAGAACAATCTACAACTGTCTTAAGAATTCGCATTCGCGCGCACGCTTTGTTTGAAAATCCGTGTTGCGAAACCATGTGTTTTTTTGTTTGAAACGTTTGTTGTGGACAGTGGATTTGGAAATCCTTACGAAACACAAAGTTCTTAAAGGATTCCGGCATGCGCGCACGACGACGCGCGCATGTGCACTTCGTCCCGTTTGCTGCAAGGGGTTATTGAAAACTTATGACTTGCGATAAACGAGTGCGCACGCATAGTATTTTTCGAAGAGGGTGACGGGGGGGGCGATACTGGTTGGGCTGGGATGGTGTTAATTCACATTTTGGATGGACGATGGGGCAGAATCATATGTAAATTGCAATACGAAAGAAGGGAACCCCAGGGGGGAAAGGAGAATCTGGGGCGGCGACGAGTCGGCGACGGGGCGGCGACGGAGCGGCGACGGCGACAACATAGCCGCCAGACCGACACATCAGCGTAGACGACGGGCGGCGACGAGGCGGGCGACGGGGCGGCGACGGCGGCGACGTAGCCGCCAGATCGACAGACAAGCCAGGTTCCTCACAAAAGAAGTAAGGACCCCTACAGCAAGTGCAAACCCGAGTGGGAAAATACAACAAAACGCATCAGCAAGGGCAACTGCTCAAACAGCATGGAATGCATCTCCAGCCCGTTTACAATGGAGGCCAGTCCACAAGAAACCGTCCACAAGAAACCCAAACCTGAGACCCCAGGACGTCCATTGATTTCTGGTGTGGGAACGTCGCGCTTTCCATGGCAGAACCCTCGAAACCAAGAAACCCAGGTCACCCTGGAAGCAAGCAGGGTGTTTCTTGGCATGGGCCCCCACTGTACTGCAAGTGCAAAACCGAGCGGGAAAATACAACAAAACGTCTCAGCAAGGGCAACTGTTCAAACAACATGGAATGCATCTCCCGTGTAGCACGAGGCGCTTTCGACCCGCTAGGCCAGGCCGCTGAGGCGCAGGCCCGAGGAGGGCAGAGCGATGAGGGCGTCGCCGGCCACCATGGCGCCGTGGCGCGGCAGGAGGCCACCCCTCTCCTGGGGGAGCTGCGGGGGCTGGGGGGATCCTCCAGCCCTCCTCCTCCTCCTCCTCCTCCTCCTCCTCCTCCTCCTCCTCACCCCTCTTCCTCCCCTCATCTTCCACTCTTCCTCACGTATCCTACTCCTCCTCCTTTTCCTCCTCCTCCTCCTCCTCCTGCCTTCCCCCCTCACTCGTCCTCTTCACTATTACTCTTCACTCTTCCTCACTCCTCTTCCTCACTCCTCTTCCTCACTCCTGATGCACCTGTAAATCTGACGTTGGGTGATTTACATGTTCAGCCTCTGGACAATTCAGTATGCGAGCCTTGTCTGTAGAGTCCAAACGACGGTGTCGATTCCTGGATGTGCCGTGCTTCAGGCGCGCGTTTCGATGTTCGGATGCGTTTTGCGCAGGAAAACCTCGACGCACAGTCATGTATAGTCGCAAGTGCGTGAGGGAAGCTTCCACGCACGGCAGTTACGGTTCGCGCGCACGTCAGCCAATCTGGTCTTCCGGAAGAGGTCGTCGACGACGACGATGAAGACTATGACGGCGCCGCGGATCGATCATGCAGCAAGCAAGTTTGGGGAGCGAAACGCCTTGCTCATCAACTTCGCTCGTGCTAAAGAGAAGTTGGGGAACAAAACGTGTTGCTCCCCAGCATCTCCCGCGCTCGAGCTGGATACATGACACCGCGCAGGCACTAGAACATCCGATACGGAGCATGGTGGCCGCAGGGCCGCTTGTATGTGGACTCCAGAGCGGATGCTGGGATGTTAGGTGCATTAACACATTCGCGGGAGATCTGACGTTATGTTGGGTCAGTTGCACCCACTGGAAAATCAGTATGCGACCTTCTTGATGTTCTTGCTTGAAGTCTTAAGAGCGGGTGCAGGTCCTGGCTGTGCCTGTTTCAGGCGTGCGTTTCGATGCGCCGATGCGTTTTACGTGGAAGCGCCGCGACGCATCAGAATATGTTCGCGCGTGCGTGGGTGGAAAGTTCGATGAACAGTGACTGAAATTCAGGTTCGCGAACACGTCGGCCAAACTGGCGTTCCTGAAGAGGCCGACGACGCCGATGCAGCGAGCAAATTTCGGGAGCAAGCCGATTTGACCCCCAACTTCACTCGTGCGAAAACGAATTCAAGAGCAGGCCGCTTTGCTCCTAGACTCCTCTCGCGTACGAGCTGGAGCATACCACCGCACTCCTAGCGACACCCCCAGACGAGGGCCTCCCAGGAGACCAAAAACGGCACAAAAGAAGCAAGGGCAGTGGTACCTGCACGGTTTCCAACGGGGCCGTAGGCGACCCGAGGAGGAGGAGGAAGAGGAGGAGGTGGAGGAGGGGGAGGGGGAGGAGGCAAGCTAGGTGCGCTCGCGTCGTATCTGACATCCTACCCCTCCCTCCCATCCCTTACCATGGCGCAGATCCCCTCTGTACTCGCTCAGTCGGATGTCGAGCAGGGCAATGATCCCGAAAGGGTACGCGATGCATTGTAGAGCACGGCATGGCATGGCGTAGAAGAGCACCGCAAAGCGTAGCATCAACCTAGCATTGCATTGCATGCCGTGGCATGGCACGGGAAATGACGCCAGCGCTGCAGCGGGAGCACGAGTCGAAGCGAGCGGAAGCGCGGAAATGAGGCCAGCGCTGCAGCGGGAGCACGATTCGGAACGAGCGGAAGCACGGAAATGAGGCCAGCGCTGCAGCGGGAGCACGATTCGGAACGAGCGGGGCCCGAAAATGAGGCCGGCGCCTCAGGCGAAAACCCAACTCCGGGGAAACCTGTGTGTAAAAAAAATACGCGGGGGGGGTCGGCACCTTTCAAACCGTCATCAGGGGAAGAGGGAGAGTAGTATTCATATTGAGTAATTGTAGATGGAGAAGGAGGAGAAGGAGGAGGAGATGGAGAAGGAGGGGGAGAAGGAGGAGGAGGAGGAGGACGGGTCGCGTTAGCCCTTCGGAGAACCCCTACAATGGCACCCCCAGATCTCCGACACATCGTGAATTTCCCGGAAGCTGGAGCACCTCCCCCCGGACCGGCTCTTCGTCCAGAGTCGTTCTTGGACGGCCCCTGGGCCCAGCGAAAGCCCCCCGAGGCCAAAAACTGACCTAAACCGTCCGCCGTGATCCTTGTTGAATCGGGGAGACGTAAGACTCGGGTTCGGGGTGCTCGGGTTGGCCTGACGGGGCCATCATGAAAATGCCGAGACCCCATCTGGAATCTGACGCGAGCTCCCGCCTCCCGCTGCAGACACCCCACGAAAACTGGACCGTTCAAATCCAGGACGCGGTCGTCGAAAAGCGTCGGCAAACCCGACTTCTGGCATACTCGAGTCTTACGTTCCCCCGATTGACCGACGAGGGCCGGGGCCGTCCAAGAGGGGGGCGTCCGAGCGGAGGGGGCGCAAATCATGGCCAGCGCCAGGTGCGCGGCCAAAGGGGGGGGGGGGGGCAGGGAACGCATTGAAATGAGAGGAGGCGCCGTGGAATCTGGGGACATGCCATGGCACCCGCCATGAGATCCACCCCCCCCTAAGTCACCCCCCTCCTGGCCGCCCCCGCGGGGGGGGGCGCGCCCTGTCTCGCCCGCCCGCCCCCCGGGCCGCACTTCGAGGGGGCGGCGGCTCTCCACGCGCCCCACGGCGAAGCCCACGAAGTCCGAGCCGCCGCCCTGGGCGAAGACGCCCGGCAGCTCCGCCACCCCGGTGTCGAGGAGGGTGCAGCCGGCCTCTCCCGCGGCCGATCCCCGCTCCTCGGCCCTCGACCATCATGGAGCCTCGACCGATCCTCGACCCTCGAACCGCGAGCCCCGATGCGCCACCCCGGTGTCGAGGAGGGTGCAGCCGGCCTCTCCCGCGGCCGATCCCCGCTCCTCGGCCCTCGGCAGGTCCCTCGGCGCGCGCCCCAGGCGCGCTCGCGCCCTGAGGGGAGAAGGATACAGGACGAAACCAGCGGGGCCACGGGGAAATGGGGGGAAGGGGGAGGAGGAGGAGGAGGAGGAGGAGGAGGAGGAGGAGGAGGAGGAGGAGGAGGAGGAAGAGGAGGAGGAGGAGGACGAGGAGGAGGAGGAGGAGGAGGAGGAGGAGGAGGAGGCAGAAAGAGCGGTACACGTTTCTTGACCACATGGGGCCTCTGGGGGCCCTCGCCGGGGCCCAGGACCGCACACCAGGGGCGTGCTCAACCTTCCCCGCGCTGTCCCAAGCAGCGGAGCGGGGGCCAGGGAGCCAGACACTACCCCGTCCACCTCCGTCCCGGCCCCCTCGGCCTGCTCCTCCCCCCCTTCGGCCTCCTTCCCTGCCCCTTCCAATCTTCGCCCTCATCCCTTATCCTCCTCCCTCGCTGGTCGCGGGCCAGGCGCCCCCCACAAGCTCTCAGGGGCTGCCCCGAACACCCGTCCAGCGGAACGTCTACCTGCACATCCTGGCCAGAACCTCTTGGAAGCCGGCCCCCTGTGCGCCTCCGACCCACCAGGCCACCGAGTATTGGCCTGCGCAGATCGTGCGGGTAGGCAACCACCTGCGAAGCCGAACCCTGCAGGTCAGATTCCTGAAACGCTGGCCGAGGACAGAATTCGCTGTATGTCTGCAGCCAGGTGGGCCCTTGCGGGGGTGCCCGATACGCCAGCGACGATTGAACACGCAGGGGTCGGGTTCGAGATTGACCGCAGAATGGATAAAATAAGACACAAGTGCGACCCGTGTCTTGACTACCTGCAAGCCTCAGTCTGCGAAAGGAGCGCGGCCTGGTAGCGGCTAGAGGATGTGTGCGCGCTGCTTAAGCACCGTTAATCGGTCGCCCTGTCGGGGGGCTCCTCTTGCCAAGTCCGAGAAGCGGAGGAGAAGGAGGAGGAGAAGGAGGAGGGGGAGGGGTATGGGAGAGGAGCAGGTGCAGGAGGAGAAGAAGGATGATGAGGCCCGCCCCCAGGCGGAAGCGCCGAGGAGAAGGAGGAGGAGGAGGAGGAGGAGGAGGAGGAGGAGGAGGGGGGGAAGGAGGAGGGGAGGGGGATGGGAAGGGGGAGGGGGTGGAGGAGGCCGGGGGAGGACATGGGAGGAGGAAGCCAGGGAAGACCCTAAAAAAAAGGAGACGGGCGCACGGCGGGGGGGGGGGCCACTGAACCCCACGCCCACACCCGTTAGGCACGCGCGCGCGCCCGCCCCCCGCCTGAGGTAAGGAGCGTGGAGGGATGGGGGAAGGAGAGGGGTAGGATCGGGAAGGAGACGGGAAGGGAGAGGGGAAGGAGAGGGGCGAGGGAAAGGCGATGGAGAGGGGAAGGAGAGGAGGGCAAGGAGAGGAGGGCAAGGAGAGCGAAATTGGGGCGGCGTAGAGCCGGAGGGGAGATCCAACACCCCAGACCCCACACCTCCTCCTCCTCCTCCTCCTCCTTCCTCCTATCCTCCTCCTCCTCCTCCTCCTTCCTCCTCCTCCTCCTCGAGAGCAGCAGCACAGCAGCAAGCAGCAGCAGCAGCATCAGCATCATCATCATCATCATCATCAATCATCATCATCATCTCATCATCATCATCATCATATCATCATCATCATCATCATCATCATCATCATCAGCATCATCATCATCATCATCATCATCATCATCCATCCATCATCATCATCATCAGCATCATCATCATCATCATCATCATCTCATCATCATCATCATCATCATCATCAATCATCATCAT